GTATAAAATGCCATTTGAATTTTGATGGGAATAGAACTGAATATATAGTTTTGGTAGTATGGACATTCTAATAATATTAAGCCTTCTAATCCATGAATGAAAAGACTCTTCCCATTTATTTGTGTTTTCTTTGTTTCACTAGTATATTATTTTCAGTGTACAAATCTTTCATCTCCTAAATATTTTATCATTTTTGATACTAAGGTACCTGAGAACATTTTCCTAATTTCCTTTTTGGATAGTTCATTGTTGCTGTATGGAAATGCAACTGATTTTTCTATGTTGATTTTTATACCCTGCAACTTTCCTAGATTCACTTATTCATTCTAATAGGTGTGTGTGTGTGCGTGTAATTATAAGGGTTTTATACATATGATCATATAATCCACAAACAGACAATTTACTTCTTTTCCAACTCGGATGCCTTTTATTTCTTTTTCTTTTCTAATTGTTTTGACTAGGACTTCCAGTATTATGTTGAATAGAAGTAGTGAGAGAGGGCACTTTTGTCTTATTCCTGATTTTAGAGGAAAAGGTTTTAGTTTTCCACCACTGAGCAGGAGGTTAGCTGTGGGCTTCTCATATATGGCCTTCATTATGTTGAATGAATTCTTACTATACCTAATTTGAGATGTTTAACATAAAGGGATGTTGAATTTTGTCAAATACATTTTCTGCATCTATTGATATAATCATGATTTTTATGATATGATCAATAAACATTTATTGATTGCATTTGAGCATCCCAGGAATAAATTCTATTTGATTGTGGTATATGATCCTTTTAATATGCCATTGAACTGTTTGCTAGAATATTTGTCACAAATTTTTACACTGAGCACTCTTTTTTATAGATTTTTGCATCTATGTTCATCAGCGATATAGAGCTACAATTTTCTTTTCTTGTAGTGTCTTTTTCTGGTTTTTATATCCGTGCAATGCAGGGCTTGTACAATGAGTTTGGAAGTGTTGCTTCTCTTTAATTTTTTGGAAGAGTGTGAGAAGGACTGGTGTTAATCTTTTACATGTTTGGTAGAGTTCACCAGTGAAGCTTTCTGGTCCTGGGCTTTTCATTGTTAGGAAGTTTTTGATTACTGATTCAACTTCCTTGCTTATCTATTGGTCTGTTTATATTTTCTATTTCTTCTACCATATGATCCAATAATTCCATTCCTGGGTACATATCTAAATTGAAATAAGGATCTCAAAGAGATATCTGCACTGCCATGTTTATTGCAGCATGATTCACAACAGTCATGATTCAGAAATAATCCAAATGGCCATCAACAGATAAATGAGTAAAGACAATGTGGCATATGCATAAATAAAATGTTATTTAGCTTTTAAAAAAGAAGGAAATTCTATCACTTGTGACATCATGGATAGACTTAGAAAATATTGTGCATTTTTCAAGCATTTAAAAAGTAGAAGGGAATATTCTCTATACCTCTACATTTTCATTAAAATTCATTTTTAAAAGATTTTATTTATTTATTCATGAGAGACGAGAGAGAGAGAGAGAGAGAGAGAGAGAGGCAGAGACACAGGCAGAGGGAGAAGCAGGCTCCATGCAGGGAGCCAGACGAGGGATTGGATCCTGGGTCTCCAGGATCAGGCCCTGGGCTGAAGGCGGCGCTAAGCCGCTGAGTCACCCGGGCTGCCCCATTTTTCATTTTAAATATCCTTTCATCTAAGTAATAATTGCTTTGAGCCAAAAGCTAAAGAGATAATCCATGCATTTCTGGCCTTAAAAACTTATTCGGGGGATCCCTGGGTGGCGCAGCGGTTTGGCGCCTGCCTTTGGCTCAGGGCGTGATCCTGGAGACCCGGGATCGAATCCCGTATCGGGTTCCCGGTGCATGGAGCCTGCTTCTCCCTCTGCCTATGTCTCTGCCTCTCTCTCTCTCTCTCTCTCTGTGACTATCATAAATAAATAAATTAAAAAAAAATTAAAAAAAACTTATTCGGGTCACAAATGATTGCATTTTGTAGTTTTGATTACTTAAAAGTCATGTGATAGGCCAGTTGCAGAACCAGAGACAAGTTCTTACTCTGACGTTGTCTCACTTAGGTTCAAACATCACTCTTTCTTTATAGCATCTGTCTTGCCCAGACAATTCCTAGGGATTTGTGGAATACAAAATCCAGGGCCAAAACTTATCCTGGCCATCTAGGCAAACATGGGTCCCCGGAACCTGAATGGGGAGGCTACAGAGAAACTTTTAGGTTTAGGTGCCAGGTCTAGGGAAGTCTCAGGTGGGGGCTAAGAGGGGCGGCAGGCAGAAAGGAATAGAAGGTGACCCACACTTACCACAGCACCTCTTACCTGCTTGTGGTCCCCTTGTGATGATTATCCTCAGGGAAGACACTGAAGACTATCCCGGTTTGGGGGTTTCATGAGGTTTGGTGTGAGGAACAGGAGACATTGTATCATCATGGAAAACATGCCTGGAAGTAAGTCAGTCACAGAGGAACAAATGCTGCATGATTCCACTTATATGAAGAATCTGGTTGATGCAGAGACTAGAATGGTGGTTGCCAGAAGATGGGAGATGGGAAAATGGGGAATTTTGTAATGGTTACAAAGTTATAGTACAAAATGAATAAATTCTAGAGATCTGCTGTCCAACACAGAGCTTATAGTTAATAATAGGGTGCTGTGCACTCAAAAACTTGTTAAGAGGGTAGAACTCATGTTCTCTTACAGGGAAGAAACAAAAAGCAACAAAATCAAGGGGGCACAAGAAATATTTTGGTGATGATGGATATGTTTATTATCTTGTTTGTGGTGATGGTATCACGTATACGCACACTGTCTAAACTCATTACGATTTAGACATTACACACACGCAACTTTTTTGTATGTTCAATTTGTCTCAATAAAACTGAAAACAAAGAAAAAAGAGGATGAGCACAAAACAAAACTGAGAATATCAAGTGTCGACAAAGACGTTGAGCAACTGGAATTTTTACTCACTACTAGTGAGTTGTAAATTGGCAAACCAAAACACTAATTGCCAGGGTCTACTAATAGTGAATATATGCATATCCTGTGGCACAGTAACACTACTCCCAGGTATATGCCAAAATCAGATGGGTAACTAGGTGCATCAACAGAGATGGACAAGAATATTCATAGTAGTATCACTTGTAGTCACTGCAAACTTCAAACAACCTAATGTCAAGCAATATTAGAATCAATGGAGAAACTTTGGAAGCGTATACAAAAACGAAAATAAACTACTACCTTCTTTAACACGGATCAGTATTACAAGCATATTGTTGAGCTAAAAGAGCCATGGGGGAGTACATACTATCTGTTGTCCATTTACAAAGGTTCAAAGGTTCAGGCAGCCAAAACTAATTTGGGTGGAAAATTTTGCAATAGTAGCTATTCATCTGTTGAACAATGACTGAGACAAGTATGAGGAGAGATTCTATATTCCTGGTAAACCTTTAAAATCTTAGCCTAGGAGATGCTTACACAAGATCATTTGTTTTCCTACCAAGACATACACTCATGAGCAGTGAGTGCACTTCTTTTGCACATGTGTCATCCCTCAAAACTTTTTTTTTCACACTGATCATCTCAGAATTTTTTTTTTAATTTTATTTTTTCAATTTTAGCAAGGGTGCAGGGAGTTGCTCGTCATATACTACGGGTAGGAATGCTAAGTTGTAACAGCTACTTAGAGGAGCAAATGAAGAGAACCCACCATGGGGATTTAAAATGTACATTCTCCATGCAGCACACCGACCTGCCAGTGTTTCTACCCTAGAGAACACTTGGATGTGGGTCACAAAAAGGAGCATGAACTTAGGTGGAACGTAGCAACGCTTTTTTTTTTTTAATTGTAGTTCAATTTGCCAACAGATAGCCTAACACCCAGCAGCAACGCTTCCAATGGAAAATAAAGAAACCAAGTACATATTCAAGGAATGAATGAATAAGGAAATCATAAATTGTATCTATTAGTTCCGAGGACTACCATGCAGTATTCCAAAAAAAAAAAAAAAAAAAGAGGAAGATTTATATATAATACGGAAAAATCCCAAGGATGTAATGTTGATTGTTGATTGGGGGGTGGGGGGGGGACCCTACACGTATGCAAATGCATGGGAACTAGGGGTCCTCCTATAGGGGCCGGGTTTGTAATTAGCGGCGGAAGAGGATCTCAGCCCAATTTGCAACGTGCACATCCATTATCATGTGTCACTTAATAACTAACAGCAGCCCTTAGGGTGCCTCTGGAAGCCTATCCACCCAGGGAACAACACGGGTTCCCTCCAATAGGCGAACTGACCGCGGGAGGGCCTGGAAGCGGAAGAATTTTCACTCTAGGACCTTCTTCATCTTTAAATGTAGCATCTTTTGGTTAAAAAAAAAAAAAAAAAGTCCAGTTAGGACTTAAAAGGTCATTGAAAGGCGCTCCATCTCGTGGGAAAGCAGAAGACGAGGATAGTTAAGCGTGACGACACGGAGGTCGGGCGCCAGCCCCGCCGCGGGGCGCAGAGCGAGGCCGCCCAGCCGGGGCCGACCTGGGTCACCGCGGCCGCGGGCCCGCGCTCAGGGGCGGAAGGTCCCACTTCTCCCTCCCGGAGCGCTCGGTGCGCCGCGCCAGGGGCCCCGAAATCCAGGCCAGGACCACTTTCCGCGAACTGGAACCTCAGTCCCCACCGAGACTCTGTAGGGAAGCCCAAGAAGCAGAATCCCCGAAAAAGGGGAAGCGGCCGCTTCACCCAACGGCGCGCGGCCACCGTCAGGACCGAGCAGCTCCGCGCTCTCCGGGTGCGGACTCCAGATTCCCACCCTCCCCTCGGGGCAGGCCAGCCCGCCCCCTTCCCCCGGATCCGCGTCGCCTATTGGGCAGCGAGTGATCGACAGACGTTTCCGCCAATCGCCGGCTCTGTCACGGCCCCGCCCCCGCCCCGTCTGCGGTCCCCCGGGAGAGAGGGGCCTCTGTGCGTCGACGTCAGCGTGTTGACGTCACGGGCCGGGCTCTGGAGGAGGACCGGGGGTGGCTGACGGCGGGCGGTGGGCTGCGCGTCGGCTGCGGGGCTCGGTTCCCCGGTCCCGCCCCGCCAAGCCCCGCCCCTCCGCCCGCTGGGGCTCCCGCGGGCGCAATCACGGAACCGCTGTCCCCGGGCCAGCCTGGGGCGGCCGGCCCGAAGCCCCCCGATAAGGTAGGCTGGGTTTCCCGTGACCCTATTTGACAGATTGGAAAACTGAGTCACCCGGGGGGGGGGGTCAGATGACTTGCTGGGAGCTCGCGGGAGACCGCGCGGACGGAGGCCGGAGCCCGAGCGTCGGGGCGTTTGCCGAGCGCTGCGCGGTGCTCCGGGAGGAGGAGGGAGGAGGGGCTCGGCTGTTCGTGAAGGATGCACGGGTGAAGTTGCAGATTGCAGAGCCCCACCTCGTTTGGGCGCCCGGGCCGGATGCGGGGCTGGATGCAGGCAGTGAGGTCTGCATCCCTTCACCCTCCCGGGCCCCCGCTGGGTCCCGCCCCACCCTCCCGCCTGGGGCCCTCCAGAGTTACCAGGAAGGGAGACTAGGGCGACGCCTGGGCTATGCAGGCCAGGACGGTCCCTGGCCTCTTTTACTCCTTTAAGACAGTCTGTGTTCAAAAATTTTAAGAATTAAAGCACAAGTTATGAGGGTCGTGGTGGTAGTTTCATTTCACTGCCTTGCCCACCCGTGGTATCCGGCCATATTTTGAAGTCTCAGTAGCATGATGATTTTTGTTGAGGATTTTCTAGAAAGGGATATTTTTTTTTCCTCCCCTCTCTTTTGTTCAAATATGGGTTAACATTGTGGAGCTTTTCTTACCCTTCCATTAATGCGCCAGTTATTCACCATGTCATTTGTCTTCTATTTCACAGATGGAATCACTGAATTCATCACTTGACTCAGTTAATAGTTTGGATAAGTTTAGCAAGGTAACAAACTAACAGGTCCAATCTCTCAAATACACTGGAACTAGTTCAGATGGTTTCCCTTAGAATCTTTGTTGAGAAGGGCTCTGAAAGATCATTCCCATCTATATACCCTCTCTTTCTAAAAGCAGGATCTCAAAAAATAAAACTTTCATTACCTTTGCTTCTTTATTGATGGATTCATGCCCATAAAGTGAAAAATGTGCACTACACAATATATGCATACATATATGATGTTTTCTTCTTTTCATAAAAAAATCATTCTCTTTAAATCTTGCTGTCGGAAACATTGGACTTTTAAGTCTGCATTATTGCATAAAACTGCATTAAAGAAATAGAACTGAAGTCACTTTTGGGGGGACCTTTCCTTCCTGATGTTCACAGGATGGCCATTTTAATCATTTGAATTTATTCTTTGAACAAGTTTATCAGACGAGTACCTCGTCTCTGCCGTATTTTGCCTGAAGATGTTGAGGATTAAGTGCTGAAAAATTTACGTCCTTAAAGACCTTCCATTTTGGTGGAGACACAATAAACATGTAAACGGAAATGACAGTTTTAGGTAATGATAAATGGTAGAAGAAATAGTTCAGGATAAGGGGATAGAGTGTGACTGGGATGTGGGAGAGTAGGAGGGAATTTAGGTACGGTAATCAGAGAAGACTTCCTTGAGGAAGTGACAGTTTCATGAGACGTGAATGTTTGGAATGAGTCAGCCCACAGGAAGATCGGTGGAAGTTTCCAGGCAGACACTGCAGTGCAAAGGAGCATGTTCCAGGGGTAGAAGAGAAGCTATGTGCAATGGAGTGAACCTTGGAGAGAGTGAAGGCGGGGAGATGACAATGGGTGTGAGCTGGGTGTGAGGCAGAGGACATAGGATTTGTGTATTGCCAAATCCTTCTTTATTTAGTGACATTCATAGACTCTAGCCAGCTCTCTGCTTTATTTTGGTTATGAAATCATTGCAGCAACTCATTACGTATTTTTTTCACCAGTAGTCACCTCTCAATGAAATATGTCTTCTTCCCTTGAGCACTGTGTCCCATGCTATTTTTTTGTGTGTGTTCATTATTATGTGCAGGACTTTAAGCCTCTGCTTATTCTCAGCTCCCTGCTTTTATCCTTCCTTCCTATGAATCCTCCAGTATTATCTTTATGTGTTGGCCCTTTGGAAAGAACTGGCTGTCAATCCCAGCTCTTGTCCAAGCTGAGTTCTAGGAAACTGCACTGTCAAGTGGATTACCATTTTCCATGAGAACTTTGAACTGACCAGAGACTTAATGCCTGCTTTTATTTAGTGCCTAAAGTGTGTCAGGTGCATTACATACATTCTTATCCTTCCAACATATTGCAGAGGTAAATATCCCTTTTTCATCAGAAAGGAAGCTTGCCCTTTGGCTGTCCAGCTTGTACTGAGTGAGTAAAGATTTGAACACTCCAGTTAGCCTGCCCCCAAAGTCTAACCCATGCTACTCCACCTCACTGCTTCCCTGAATATATAGCAGTAGCTACAAATCTCTGTTATTTGAAGTTATATTTTTTGAAATGATATTTTAGAGGTCATGATTCAGTCCTCTCATTTTATAAAGATTTTATTTATTTGGAGGGGGGGGAGAGAGCACAGGCATAAGTAGGGGGAGGGGCAGAAGGAGAGGGAGAAGCTGACTCCCCACTGAGCAGGGAGCCCGATGTGGGGCTTGATCCCAGGACTCCAAGATCGTGATCAGAGCCGAGGGCAGATGCATAATGGACTGAGCCACCCAGGCATCCCCAGTCCTCTCAATTTAAAGGTCAAGCTGTGGAGGCCCAGATTTTCAAAGCATAACTGGCACCAAGTTCTTACCTTACTGAATCTCAGCCAAATATTTTTTTCTGTTATACTTCATAAAAGTTCCATCACAATGGGTTTCTACATATATGAAAATACAATATTTCTTTTTTTTTTTTGAGAGATCGAGAATGAGCAGGTGGGAGAGTGGGGAGGGAGGGACACAGAGAGGAGAGAGAATCTTAAGCAGGTTCCAGGCTCAGTGCAGAGCCTGATGTGGGGCTCAATCTCATGACCCTGAGACATAACCTGCAAGAGCCAGACACTTAACTGACTGAGCCACCCAGGCGCTCCTGAGAATACAATATTTCAACATGGTGAATTTATTGTCCATCAACTCATTCAAGGTAGTAATATTTCTTGGACTAGTACAGTCCATTGCCTTATTTTCCTTACCTTTTCTCAGCAGGGAGCAGCTGCAGACTTTCTGAATGAATCCTTGATTTTTGTTAGAAGAAAGATAGTAGTTTCGAAATGACTTTAAAATTTAAGGATTAATTGCACACATTTTTTAAAAAAATTTTTTAAGTAATTTTGTTTGAGAGAGAGAGAGAGAGGGAGTCACAGTGACAGTGAGAGAGGGAGAGGGAGAAGCAGGCACCCTGCTGAGTAAGGAGCCCGACATAGGGCTCCATTCTGGGACTCTGGGATCATGACTTGAGCTACCCAGGTGCCCCTAATTGCCCACGTCTTTGAAATGGAGTTCAAAACTTATTACTGATTTTCCAGATTTAACCGTGTACTTCCAAGTGTGAGAACATTGTCTAGAATTGCAGGCTTATAGTTTCTGATAGCAAGTGGAGTTTCTTCCTGGAATTGAGGAAGTCCTCGGGTTAGCTCAGAGATATAACTTCTCTTTCTTGGTAATATATAATCATTTAAAAAAAAAAGTAAAAATCATTTCATGAATTTCATGGTTGAAAAATGGGTTACTATGTTCCTACAAATTTAAAAATACTCATTATTCATTTCCAGGCCTTGTTCATTATGATTGGGATATGGCAGGTGAATAATAGTAAACTAACAGTTTACCAGAAAGTACTTTCTGGTGGCTTTTTGCCTCTCCTTATATAAGTTAATAGAGATTGTCTTTCATTAGTCAAATTAGAATTATATTACCTGGTATCCTTGGTCATACATTCTTATACATATATGTTTGCTTGAGTCTAAAAGACACTTAAGGATTCGTGTTATAACATGCAAAGTTTTTTGTGGATTGTAGAGCCCTTTAGTTTTATTTATCATTTCATCTTTGAGAGAGGCACCGTTATGGTTTTCTTGGCTTTGGTTCAACAGAACCTCTTTACTGTTTCAGTTAAGGATCTGACTTCTGACCCTCAATTCCCTTGAGAGGAGCTCAAGTCTCTAGGGTTATAGGTGTTGAAGGCACATTGTTGCAAGTAAAAATCATTATTGTCTGTCTTGATGGTATTGGAAAAAGTAATGGAAAGTCCACTTTTTAATATTAAAGATTAGAAAAGGCCCAGAGAGCCTATCCAGCGGTGGGTGTCCTGCTGAGGTAAGAAGCCTGGTCCACATCCCTGGCTCAAGGCAGCAGGAGCTCCCACCAGCTGTTGCAGGCTCCCATGTCCTGCAGAGCTCGAGGCTTTCTGTGCTATTTCAGTTGTTTGGCTTGTTCTCCATCTGGATCTGGAAGGTACCTGTTGTGGTGACTCCACATCAAAGCAGGACATCTCACCCAGGATCCCTGCCTCAGCTGTTTAAGCCTGCAGGATGTTCCTGGGCAGGTATTGGGGAAGTATGTAATGGGTTTGGTCAGCCCTCTAGTTTAAAACCCTTCTCCTCTACTTCTTCTCGTTTTCCAAAAAATATCCTGGGACCAGTGGGTATTCTTAGTGTGTAAAACTTGGGAGTTGAGAGGAATTTTGCCTAGTACCTTCTAAGTTATGGTAATCACAGGTTTCCACAACCCCTGTTTTACAGGGCAGGATACTTTTCAAATACTGTGTATTATTGCTCGCCCAGGTATATTCTTGTTTGCTTTTCATTTTAGGAAAATATATTTGCAGGTTTTTTTTTTTTTTAAATTAACTACTTGCTTGTTGAGCTAAAGCTGTGGAACCAGGGAGTTTCAAGTACATTTTCCTATTTGTATGGTAGTTAAGTTCATCAAAGCAAGGAGCTCCTGAGCTATTAGAAATTTCTCCAGCTGAGGTAGGAAGCCAGCCAGGACTTTGGGCATTATTGATAAGAGCTGACACTCAGAGAGGCCTTCTCTGCCAGCTGCTGTTCTGATTGCTTTGTGTCTGGATTTCTCATCCTGTTGACATTTTGGGCTGGGTATTTTTGTGTATAAACATTGCAGCAGTGTGAGATGATAGAGAAATGTGTGTGCATTTGATGGCAGAAATGTGTGTGGGGGGCACGTTTCCCTTTGAAGGCTCTGGAAATGAGGGTGGATGGCAGGGGGCTCCCAGACTAGAAGTGGGTGTCTTGCTGCTTTGTAAGCCAGCATGAGAATGAAAGCTGGCCATCCGACACCCTTTGAACTTTCAGCACTCTGCTGCTCAGTGCAGACCATTTAAAAGTTCTGTACTCTCCGGCCCTTCGGCACGTTGGTAACTGTTTCTCTCATGCCTTCTCTTTTCCAGGTGGTAAAATAGATATTTTTATAGGACATTGAGAAAACATAAATTCTGGAATCCCGGAACGGCTGTATCCTGGAGAAGCAAACCCCAACTATACCTCTCTTTGTTGACCAGAAATCAGTTGAGTCCACATTTAACGCTTTGAATGACCAGCACCTCTGCCTACATTTCAGTAGCAGATGGATGGCTGTGGTCTTCAGTGCATTATCCTCATCCTCAGACTCTGGCCTTTTTAGTTGAGCCTGTGTGCCCTCATGCCTCTGCTCTCAGTGTGAAATCAAGCCCATGCTCCCCTGTTCCCCATCCATGCGCCTTGTCACCTGTCCTCCTTCCTGGTCCAGCTGCACCTTCTGAAGCTTCCTCACGTGGGGCCCCTCCCAGACCATCAGTGGCTCACTGCTCCTGGACGTGCTCCTATGCCTCTTTTTAATCTACTACTCATCTTCTTCCTCAAAATATACTGTCTTTCCGTTTCTTGCAAAGTCATGTTTCCTTTTGGGCCAGCTTTTTCATGAAGCCTTTTCTGGTCACCACAACCTAAAGTTCAGTCTTCTCTGTATTATAAT